CACACAGGCGCATGCACATATGCACACAATGGCACACGTGCATGCACACAAACACCCAGATACACATGTACACACATGCCACATGGAGACACATATAAACAGGCACAGCACACACAGGTGCACACATACACACACACACACACAGGCACACAGGTGAACACCCAGACACACAGGTACACACATACCACATGAAGACACGTGTATGCAGGTACAGCCCACATACGTGCACACACATAGGCACACACAGGTAAACGCCCACACACGTACACACGCCATATGCAAACACACATACGTACGCACAGCACACACAGGTGCACACACAGGCACACACGTGGACACACAGGTGAACACCCTGACACACATGTACACACATGCCACAGACACGTTTATACAGACACATCATACAGAGGCGCACACACATACATGCACAGGCACACACAGAGGCAAACAGATACCCGTGTACACACGCCACATACAAAACATCATACACACCATGCAGGCACACACACACACTACACAGAGACATACACACCACACATAGGCACACACACAGGCAAACAGATACCCATGTACATACACACCACATGCAAAACAACATGAACACACACCATGCAGGCACACATACACACCACACAGAGACATACACACCACACACATGCATTCACTCACACACACATACACTACACAGGCATATACACACGTACAGACATGCGCACACCACAAAGGCACACACGTGCCTGCACAGATGCACACACACAGGCATGCACACAGATACGCATGTACACATTAGACATGCACATGAACAGCGGCACACACACATGAACAGCGGCACACACACATGAACATTGACAAGATGCACACACAAGCTCAGAGACCCACACATACATGCAGACACATGCAAAAACCCCTCCCTGACTACCGGAGCTGCAGGAATTCTGGCACCAGTGCCAGCACTGTGGACAGCATCGCTGATTCCTGGTGTGTGAAGTTGGGGCAGGAGAAACTGGAAGAGGACAGGGAGGTAGCAAACAGGAAGTGTGCCTGCTCACACCAAGGCGCTGGAAGCTCCAGCTTCATCTGAGGAGTCTCAGAAGACAGAGCCCACCCACCTGCTGCAGACGCCCCTGGCCCTGGAAGACGCACCTGCAAGGGCAAGTGAGGCCATCCTGCAGGCAGAAGTCGCAGCAAGAATGAATTCTTATTAAAAAGCAAACAAGCATCCTGCACTCCAGCACACGTCGCCCCAGGCTGACACCAGGCTGAGTGCCTCCTGGGAGGAGGCCTTTGGGACAGGGCTCTGTGGCCTTCTCCACACAAGGCCTAGCCAGGCCAGCAAGGCCATGCCAACAGCAAGGAGCCCTTGGAGCTCTCTCCTTAACATGAGCAACTGGCACCGCTGAACCACCTACATGGGAAGCTGCAGGACAAGAAGTCAAAGGACTGGCATTGGGGTACAGTGAGCTGAATGGAGGGGGCACTGCAGGGCAGGGACTGCTTAAATCCCCTGGCACATCCCCTCACCATACACACGGCAGCAGGCGGTGAGGACAGGAGAAAGGAAGCAGCAGGACTGCCTGGCACTCCTCTGCCTGCTCAGGGTCCAGGACAGGGCTCCTGCCCCCACGAGGCTGTGGTCCTCACCCAGGCAGCCAAGGATTGCCTCGACCCAGTAAGTCCCACACAAGCGTTGCCTCCTCTAGAAACATCCCTGGAGCACATGTTGGGGAGAGGACCAGAGCCACACCCCACACAACCACCAATGACCAGGGAGGAGGCTCTGCTAGCCCAACACCACCACACCCAGGGAGCAGTGACACAGTCAGCGTCTCCAGAAGGGAGCAAGGTCCCGCATGGCTCTGCTCAGCAACACAAGAGGCCCGGACAGGCACCGGGAGCCATCCAGGGAGGAGGAAGCAGCAAGGCTCAATCTGCCAATGCCGGGAGCAGTCACTCCTTGCAGGAGTTACCTGGGCAGCTCCTAGGGCCCTCACCCACCACAGCAGGCCCCTTCCTCGAGGTGCATGCTGCCCCTGGCGGATCTGTGACACTGGGGACCTCCCTAGTCCACTGCAACCCCACTCCAGGCTCCCTGACCACTGGCTCCGCTGCAGGCCAGAAACAGTCCGACCCGAGCTAGCACTTCACTACAGGTCAGGTATCACCCAACCTCCCTGGGTAGAACGGCGGCCATGGCGTCCTTCCCTTTCCTGGGACTCTCTTCAATGAGGAGAGCCATTCATGGTCGGAGCTGCACAGCACCTTTCAGGGCTTGCAAAGCTAGTGCTGTAAGTACACTAGCCTAACAGAGAGCACATCTGACAAAGTTTCACTCAAGCAGTGGTGCTTCAAAGGCAACACAACACATTCTTCCTATTAATCCTGAAGAGTTCTGCTACACGTGGTTACAAAGAAACTGTTGCATTAGCAGGTTACATTACCTAGCAGAAACAATCTACAGTAATTCCAGGGGAAAAATGCTTAGAATCACTGCTTTAGCCTGATGCCACCCTTCCCACCTCACGTCTCCTGGTCTGTGCCAGGGCCAGGCAGAAGAAAGCACAGGTCCCTAGACATGTCCTCTCAGCAACCACTGTCCTGATCCCAGGTACAGCCTCAAATCAAAGCAGAGCTTCACTTAGCTCAGGGAGGGAGGGATGCTGTGCCTGATTCCCTGCTGCAGCCAGGGACTGAGGGGCTCTGCCATGCTCAGCAGACACTCAGCCAACACCTGGTGGCAAATAAACGACGCCAAGTCAGAGTTCTTTGTGGGGTCCGCTCCAGGGGAGGCACACCTGCACCTTGTGGCACCTGCTTCCTCTCCCACCATAAACAATGGTGCCCAACCCCCAACTGCAACTACCCCACGACCATGAGCTGAACCATGGGAAAAGAAACATCGCGGAAGAGGGACACACCAAGCCCGTCCCCTCTTCCTGACATGCATTCCCCTAACTTCACTCGGAACAAGCCGCACAGAAGGGAAATGGCTCTAAATAAGACACACACCCCAGTTTCCTGCTCCATCAGGTCACAAATGCTGGCAAGTTTTATTCCAGCGAAACCCTCCCTTCAGTGCTTCTCAGAGCCTAAGTGCCTCTCAGCAGATGGGCTCTTCAGGCAATCTGGAGGAAGACATACAGAAAACTAGTATTTTGTTTTCCACCTACAGTTTATACTTTTGGAATTTACTGACCCATCCTGCCGACCACAATGTCCTTAAACAACCTAAACATACTTGACCATTCTGTCACATATCCAATAGGAAAAGCAAGCTGTTTCGAGGGAAGATGATTCGTGAATGACCAAAACAATTAACAACTCTCATTCACTTTAATTTAGTGAGTGGAGAAAGGTTTTTTTTTTAAGTTGATTAGATACATTATGGATGATATAATAATTTTTTGCAATAAAGAAGAGCATTTATTTCAGGCTTAGAAGAGTTACAAACACTTGAAGGAATGTAAGAGAAGACTGTGCTACAGTTTAAAATGAGGAGAAAGCACGCAGTAGCAAGAAGCCCCCCACCATGAAGGCAGGGACAGCTTTGCAGGCAGCTAGCTGTCCTGTCTGCTCCTAAGAACCTCGACACTCAATTAACACCCTGCCAGCCCTACTTGCAGGAGAGGGTCAGGAACAAGGTAGTTCTGGTACTCATTAACCCACGTGAATGTCCAATCTGGAGCCTACTATCTGATTGCTTAAAAACTGGTTGAATCGGCTAGGCTCGGTGGCTCACGCCTGTAATCCCAGCACTTTGGGAGGCCGAGGCAGGTGGATCACGAGGTCAACTGACCGAGACCATCCTGGTCAACAAGGTGAAACCCCATCTCTACTAAAAATACAAAAATTCGCTGGGCATGGTGGCGCGTGCCTGTAGTCCCAGCTACTCGGGAGGCTGAGGCAGGAGAATTGCTTGAACCCAGGAGGCGGAGGTTGCGGTCAGCCGAGATCACGCCATTGCACTTCAGCCTGGGTAACAAAGAGAAACTCTGTCTCAAAAACAAACTGGTAAGTCATTTTAACCTGTGAGCTGAGCAGGTGACAACCCGCGGGCCGTAAAGGACAAGGGGGAGTCCAAGTGCTCCGCTTCCTATAAAAGAGTTGAGACTATGATTTTCTCCATGTTCTGCCTCACTGAGAAATTTTTTAATGCAATAGTTTTATAACTATAGTTGCCAGTGTCTTTTCATTTCAAAGGGAAAAACACGATTATCAATTTTAAACACAGGGAAGGAAAAATTCAGCAGGCCCAAATTAATCCAAGTAGCACGAGATTCATGTCAAAAACCGCCACTCTTGTCATTACAATGATGATCACAGGGTGAAGGTAACGAGCTGGGGTTTACAGGAAGCAGAAGCACGCTTTGTTTTCTAACACTTCGGTTCTGAGGCCAGGCCAGGTTACCCAGCTCCATTTATTCTGCTCCTGCCTGTGGTGATTAAGGCGATCACAGACGTTTACAAGCACTAGGACGCGCCCCACAGCTCGGGTCCACGGAAGGTACACACCGTGACCTCCGTCTCTCAGATGAGAACACCGAGGGTCGCGGTGGCACTGCCGCACTTTGTGGTGAGGCTGCCGGAGCCAGCTGCAGCCGCACCCCGGAGCCCTGGGCTGGGACCCCTCTGAGGAGCTGGGCGGCCCCCACTCACTCACTGACCCGCGCTCTGCCGAGAACACGAACCCCCGGCTGGGCTCCCCCCGCCCAGGTCCGCAGACAACAGGTGCGGCCTGGCAGGGTGAGCCTGTCCCCACTCCCGGCCCGGCCAGCAGCCCTGCAGGCAACAGCACGGGCGAGGGGAGGGCCGCGGCCCGCGGTCGGGGTCTGGGGTCAGAGCGGGGGGTGGGTAGGCACTGGGGTGGAGGTGGGGAGTCGGTGAGGGTCTGGGGTGGGGCCTGGAGGGAGGCCGGGGCCGGGGTCCCGAGTCAATACCGCGCTCTGAGCCGAGAGCTGGGTCTGCGGTCTGGGCAGAAGGCCTCCGCGCCGCCCCGCGCCTACCGTGCTTCCTGCGCGCCGCCATGCCGGACGGTGGCCGCCGACCTCCGCCGGCTGCGCCCGGGCCGGACCCGAGCGACGTGCGCTTCCGGGTTCGGCCCTCCTGGGCCCGCCCACAACAGCAGGAATGCCCAATACGGAAACGGGACGCTGCCACGGGCTGTCAGTCAACAGGCCACGGCCGTGGATTGGCTGATATCGAGCCTGTGGGCGTGTCGCGAGGCTCCAGTCCCGCCTCTGGGAGCCTCGCTGCGGAGCATGCGCGGAAGGAGAGCTGAGGAGCCGCCGGCGCCGGCTCTCTGGGGCCTGAGGACGCTGTGGATGGCAGAGCCCGCTCCACGCGGTGGCAGAACTCTGGGGACGAACGCTGGGAAGGGCGCTGTGGAGAAGAGGGCAACGGAGGGCTCCAGAAAAGACGCGCCCACCCCCAGCCCCACGCGTGCACTCGCGCGTCCCCAGTCCACGCATCGCCCCCGGGCACCTGCGGGACACAGAGTGGTCAGGGCGGCGCCCCGGGCCCCCGGGCACCTGTCGGACACAAGGAGTGGTCAGGGCGGTGCCCCCGGCCCCCGGGCACCTGCGGGACACAGGGAGTGGTCAGGGCGGTGCCCCCGGCCCCCGGGCACCTGCGGGACACAGGGAGTGGTCAGGGCGGTGCCCCCGGCCCCCGGGCACCTGCGGGACACGGAGTGGTCAGGGTGGCGCCCCCGGCCCCCGGGTACCTGCGAGACACAGGGAGTGGCCAGGGCAGTGGCCCCACCTCATCCCCGGCCTGCCGGACCGGACCCCTTCTTGGCTCCCTCTTCCAGCTTCCAGGGCCTCTGCCCTCCCGCTCCACCCCCTCAAGACTGTCCTCCTTGAATTCATTTCTTCCAAAACATTTCCCAAGTGTGTACCAGGCGCTGTTCCTCATGTGTGAAGTCTCAGGAGGGGATTCCAGAGAGATCAATGTTTTGGAGGAAAATGAAGCAGGCAGGGCCTAACTGGAGAGTGATGGGCACAAGCGTGAGGTAGGCGAGAGAGCGAGACCCGGGTACCCAGGGACAGAGCCTGCAGGAGGGAGACAATGTCCCAGAAGAATGGCCGCCCTGTTTGTATTTGGGGACCAGAGGCAAGACCTTGATAAGGGGAGCTCAGATCAGGAGGAAAGGAGACCCCAGGCCCAGGCAGGGTCTGCAGGGAGCCTGATAACTTTGCATGTTCCAAGAAGCAGTGGAAATTGTTACAGGATGTATAGCAGAGGGTGAAATGATCTGATGTACTTTGTTTTGGAGGTAGACAGGGTCTCACTCTGGCCCAGGCTGGGTGCACTGGCAGTGGGACCATGGGGGCATTAAAAGTGACTGGGGAAGTACTGGACGTTCTAAGCCACCTGCCAGAGAGTGTGGAAAGACTCACGGGCGTCAGCATCTCCCAGGTGAATCACAAGCCTTTGCGAACAGCCTGAGCCTTCAGCCCTCACAGATTCCCAGCCTCGTAGCTGAAGTTGCCTGAATGATCTCCCTGTGGCACGTAATCCGCTGGCCTCCTTGAGCATGCCCACTGACAGTGGGGTCCCACGCTCATCTCTCCTTGCCAAATAGTTTGTGCCTTGCCTAGAATGGGGTTGCTCCCCTTGCCAACCTGACACTGCTGTGATTGCCAACTCCAGGGGTCCCATGTCAGCCTTCTGATGATCCCACTCCACTCCACCTCAGCTTCCTAATTAAATCAGACTGTTTGAAAAAAAAGGAGGAGAAATGGACAGGGCCGGACTTCTCCCATCCACCTTTCTACCCCCTCCTCATTCAGCACTCCGCCTTGAAAATAACTGCAACCGTTGAATATTTGAGTGATCAATTACATGGGAAATTCTTAGAGCCTGTTTTCTGTTTAAAGATCTCGGAATTTCTGGAAAGGATCGGTTTGTCCCGATCCAAAATATTTGGATGACCTGATTCCATTCTAACTCCCATCCATCTTGCTATACGGTTTGTTTTCTTATCTTCTACCTCATTTAAATGCTATCACCACGCAGTTGGAGATGCTGAAAAGCACATTTCTGCCTTTGCGTTAAACCGGGGCTGAGAGACTGGCCCGGGGTCGGTGCCCACCCGGGATGGACCCTGCCTCGCCCGCCCGCACGCGTTTCGCTCCCGCCTTCTGCTCCTGGACGCGGAAACCCAGGTCTCTGCGAGGGTCGGTGAAAACGTGGCCGGCGTGGCCGATCTTCCCGGCTGTGAGATGGTCAATCTGCTTCTCCCGGGTGGATTCTCCGTCTTCCTCCGCTGTGCGGTCCCCAGGCCGCTCGCAGCAAACCCAGACGGCGAGTGCCGTCTGAAGGCGCTCCCTGTGCCCACACCCGGTCAGTCACGAAAGGGGACGCTCCGGGCTCTGGGGCCGCCGTCCGCAGGTCCACTAAGGGGAGCGCGCGGTGGAAATCGGGGGAGGTTCCGCCTCCGGCACCCGCGCCTCGCAGTCAGACCGGGCGCCAGCGCCCCGCGCCTCCCTCGCCCGCGTCTTCCCCACCACACAAGCCCCCTGGTCGCCTAGCCGACCCTTCCCGGAGCGCGAGTCCCTCGCTCCAGGACGCCCGCGCGTCCTCAATCGCGGCCTCGAAAGGCGGACCCTCCCCGGGGCGGCCGGAGTCACCACGGCCTCCCTCCTGTCCCCTCCTGCCCGGCTGCGAACTTTGGGGCGCCGGGAGTGTGGCCCGCGCACGCCGCGGTGGAGACCGCGGGTTTCCCAACAGGAGCCCGGCGCCCGGGCTGTCCCCGGGTGACCCGCGCAACAGTTGGGGCCGGCGCTGCCGGGCTGTCCGCGCGCTCCCCGAGCCCGGCCCTTCCCCAGCGGGAGCCGCGCGCCGGCCGCCCCCCAGTGCGCCGGTGCCTCCCCGGGCTCCGAGTGCGCAGGCGCCGGCCGTGAAGACCGACCGTGCGCCGGGCTCGAGCGAGGTCTGAGCGCGCGGCGGCGGCGGCGGCGGCGGCGGCGGCGGCTGACTGACGGACGGACGGACCGCGGACAGACGCACGGACCCCGACCCGCGAGCCCTAGGAGCCGGCGGCCTGAGGAGGGGCCGCGTCGCCATGTCGCCCCGCACCTGCTGAACCGGGAGCGCCCGAGGATGTCCGCGCTGAGGAAGGTGCGAGCCGCCGGGGCCGCGGGGCGCGGGGAGCCGGGCGCGGGGCGGCAGAACCGTCGAGGCGGGGAGGGGGCGGCGTGTTGGACCCGCAGGGACGCGGCGAAGGCGTCAGGGCGGGGGGCGGTGGTGAGTGGGTGTCGCGCCCTCCGCCGGGACCGGAGCGCGGAGACCCCAGCGGCAGCCTGTGCTCGAGGGTCGGGCGTTGCGCTCCTCGCAGGGCTTCGCGCAATACTGGCGGTGCTCCTGGGCGCCGGGAGCCCGGGCTCCCGGGCGTGTGAGCGGACGGGCCGCGGAGGTGTGAAATGCTCCGCTTTCGCGCCCCGAGCGGAGAGGGCACGGCCTGGGGGGCGCCGGTGGGCCGGGGGCTACGCGCCCAGCTCCGGTGAGGCGTGGGGGCGGCGCCAGCTAATGGCACCCCCTCCCCCAGTGCAGGTGGACAAGCCGACGGGGATCAGGAATGAATGGAGAGTGCCGGGGAGCCCGGGCTGCGCGTGCGGGGGCTCGCGGGGGCGGGGGCGGCCGCGGCTGCCGGGCCGGGCGCGGTGGAGGGTGCGCGCGAGGGAGGGGGTGGCCGCCGCCCGGCTTTCCAAGTGCGAGCGAGGATCACGGGGGCTTTTTTCGGGTGGTTGCTAAGCGAGGCGCTACCCAGCGCAGGGTTTTGTAACTAAGCCTCCCCCGGCAGCGGCTGTTGCTGTTCTCCGGCTCCTTTGCTAACGATGGCAAGAGAAATAATGAGGATGTAATTATTACCGCCCTGCGCTGGGGGCTGGGGGCGGCGGGGCTGGGGGGCGGCGGTCGCGGGCTCCTCCGCAGGTGGGGCTGTGCTGGGCGCTCTCCTGGCGGCCTTCCTGGGTGCGCAGCGTGCGCGGTGCCCGAAGCTCCGGGGCTGGACTGGGCACCCGGAGGGGTCTTGGGTAGAAGGAGTTGGCAGAGGCGGCGCCGGCGGGGAAGGAGGCGGAGGTTCGCAGGTGCTGAGCGGGCGCGGGGGCGAGGGCGCGCGGCAGAGCTGCGAAGCGCGTCGGAAACTCGCGGCCCCGGGTCCAGCCCTCGCGCGCTTCGGAACCTGGGTCCTGCAGCCCCTGCGCGATGCCACCGCCGCCAGGGAATGGCGATCCTGGCCATGACTGGGAATTCGAAATTTGTGACCTATTGGCGGCGCCTGTTTTTATTGATTAACGATAAAGCGATCCGCGGCGAATTCATCCTCGGTTCTCTGGTGGGATGGATTCTGCCAGCCGGCCTGTGGGGGTTTGGAGCTGGGAATATGCTACAAAGCGCCGCCGCCGCCGGGTCTCCCATCCTCCCGGACCCGAGGCTGGAGGTGGCTCCTGCGGGCGAAGGCGGGGACCTCCCAGCGGGGTCCGGGTTGAGGGCGCCAGGGACATAGACAGCGCCTGGCGGGACTCGAGGAACCCGACGATCTGCGAGGCCAGGAGGACTCCCGTTCACAGCTGGTGAATTAATTCTGCTGCAGTTAGGGTACCACCCGGTACCTCGCGTCGCCCCAGGAGTCCAGGCAGCTCTCCAAGGACCATCCCCAGGTCCGGAGGCTGTGCTAAACCCCGGCCACAGAGCACTTTGGAAGGAACATTTTGGCCTGAGGCGAACACACCTTACTTACCCCGTGTTCATTTTACTCCCTTCATCTTCTCCGAGAAAGGTAGTAGATAACCCAGGCAAACATGGCGAAACGATGAAAAATTGGTAATTCTTGGCAGGTCAAGTTGTTACTCTGGGTTTAAAAAAATATCATTAATCAGGATTTTCCAGTAGCCAAATTGTCTTGTGCAGGCAGCTGGGTGACTCACAGATTTGGCTCCAATAGTAATTGTAGAGTGTACGTACCATTTCCTTCTGGATGGTGTGACTTTTTCATTGCTTGGGAGAGAACACATTAGAATATTTTATCCCTTGCCTCTGGCAGCATGGTGAGCAGGCTGCAGGGAATGCTCTGTCCAGGCACATCTGGACGG